TTTTGTGTGTAAAAATTTAAAAAAAATGTGTAGCCCATAAAAATAAAAAAAAATTAAAAAAAAAAGTGTTTTGAAAAAACAATTTATCTAAAATCTTTATTCTCTTTAAATAAAATTAATATAATCAATATAAGAATATTTCTCAATATAAGAATTTTTTAAGAAATATGATTTTTTTAAAAAATAATAAATATGATAATAGAATAATATAATATAATAATGTAATAAATTATTATAATAAAATAACAAAATTTTGAATTTCGTTAGTTTTTAATTTTCTGTGATAATAAAAAAAAGTGTATTAGTGTGCACATATTTTTCTTCTCACTAATCCTCTTTTTTCTGAAACCTTAACTTCTGCGTGAGATTTAGAGTTTTTTGTTTGTTGGCTTTTGAATGAATCTTGAATTAACCGGAAGAAGAGTTTTGCTCAGGATGTACGCATCAGTCTTTTATCAACCTTCAATACCTTTAGAAACTGTCATCCAACTTTGTATGTATTTTTTATAAAAAAAAAGTCCTCCCTTATATGTAAATAGAAATTTATGAAATATGTAACAAATGCCGTTATATAATAATTAAACATTTCTTTTTTTTTCATTATTATAATTTATAAAATTTTAAAATGCTTTCTTGCAATTTTTCATAGGGTTCTTTTTTTTGTGCATTTGTTACAGGATAAAAAAAAGTTTCTTTGATTTAAATAAATTATTTCTTTACCTATTTTTTGTTCAATCAAATAAATATTTTTTTCTTTTATTTATTTTTTAATTTTCTCATTTTTTGGGAAATTTATTTTTTATCCCCTTGGCTGTCGACGAGATTTCCACAGTTTGGACCAAAAGTGTGTGTTCAAAAAAAATTTTAATATGTATTTTTATGAAACTTGGTATCTCAATGTTTTCGGGGTCGCTGATTACGAATCTGACATTAGTTTTTCAAAATTCAAAATGGCGGATCCAATATGGCGAACAAATTAATCTTGTATCAAGGATTACAATTATTTTTCGGGGTCTTTGATTACGAATCTGATATGAGTTTTTCCAGATTCAAAATGGCGGATTCAATATGGCGGAGGACAAAATTTAAAATTGATTCAATTCTCTTGAAACTTGTTACTCGAGAGTTTTTGGGGCCATTTGAGTTTTGAGAAACTGATGTCAGATTCATAATCAGCGACCCCGACAACCCACGAGTAACAACAAGTTTCAAGAGAATTGAATCAATTTTAAATTTTGTCCTCCGCCATATTGAATCCGCCATTTTGAATTTGGAAAAACTCATATCAGATTCGTAATCAGAGACCCCGAAAACTAATTGTAATCCTTGATACAAGATTAATTTTTTTTTAATTTAAATAAATTAAATTTTTTTTTTAATACAATTTTTTCTTTATCTATCGTTATATTTTCTGTATGAAAATAAGATTTGCAATGGACAAAGTTCTTCGTTTTCTATATAGCATCGCAGTAAGTTTTTAAGTAAAATGTAAAAGTCGAGAAAATTTGCCTGAAGGTAAATGACGGCCTTATTGATACCTCCTTCTTATATATATATATATATATATATATATGTTCTCTCGTACTTTTCTACTGTCCCGAGGAAATGAACATTAAATATAGGAAAACAAGTATTTTTTTCAATGATAAAATACTTATTTTATAAAATATTCTGACAAACACCTACAATTCAAACTCTATATGTACATATATAATGATATATATTTATTCATTGTACATGTATATTCACTTCTCAGAATATCTCGTGCTTTCTAAGTCCAAGAACCACTTGAAGATATGTATTTTCGGACGAATAGGAGAAATTATTGACATTTGAAGAAAGTCATCATTTTTTTTTTCATATTAAACATTTATATTGTATAGTTTTTATAGTGTTTCAACTTTCTAATATTTGAATATTGGATTTTGCACATACATGCAATATTAACTGATTGGTGCAATATATATATCTATATATTTCTGCGAAGAAAAAGTTTACGGAAACTAGGCTAAAATTTTACTCTTCTAATGACATTCCTTCTCATTTCAAGTTTTATATTTCCCAAGAGAGTCTCTTCCATTATTTATTTTATGGCTTTGATTCCATTCGTTAACTATTAACAATACAATAAAAAAAAGTAAGATGTCTGTTATACTTTCAAGAAGTGCATTTAGAAAAAAAAAGTTATCTCCGCTTTAACGGATTCCTCTTTTATTTTTATTTGCAACTTTTCCTTTTGTATAGATATAAAACAAAACATAATCTTTCATCGTTAAATTGTCTCATTGGTTTTAAAGAAGAAATGTGAAATGTTCACTATTTAAGAAACATTTATAAATAAAAAAGGTCTTGTAGTTTTAAACAAAAATTTTTTTTTAAAAATACGTCTGTAACCTACACGGAGAAAAAGGAATGGTTGGGCCAACCATAGGTATTGATAAATACGTCCCATCAATATTATATGGTTACCACAACCATATCTTTAGTTGATACAACCATAGTATGGTTGGCGAAACCAAAGGTCAGGTTGACACATCAAAGGGTATAGGGGGTTAAGGATACAAAAAGTGCCGTTGCAGGTATTCTGTTCAAATTGACACCATATATTGCTACCCCTATGAATATAAAATTCTGCAAGTATAAACCCATAATTCGAATTTTTGGGGGAGTTATGGTGGGGGAAAGGAAAATAAAGAAATCCACTTTTCTCGAAAACTACTGAACCGATTTTAATGAGCTTTGAATATGTTATACATGTCGCTAAGACAATTCTAAAAAAAAAAATCTCAAAATTTTTTTTTGAAAAAAAGTCAAAAAAAATTAATTTTGAAATTTTCAAAAATTTTTTTTGGGGTGATTTTTTGAAGTGACCACTTTAATTTTTTTTTTAAAAGTTACCTTATAATATCCCCTTTAACATATATTTTTTTCAGATTTTTAAAAAATGTAGTTTTTGAATAATTTAACGAAAACCATCGTCGCGCTACATGACGCAGCGCGCACAGTGCGCTGATGCAGTATACAGGGTATTCCAAAAGTATGGAAACTTTCAAATATCTCGAAAAGTACGAATTATTGTAAAAAATGTTCAAGACAAAAGTTGTTCCAAACAAAAAGATGTACATCTTTGAAACCAAAAAATTGGGCCCGGAGCCCAATGTTGGGCCCAATAATGAAAAAAGTGGTTTTCTTAAATGAGACCACTAATTTTCAGTATCAAATTCGTAATCCCCATGAAATTCTGCGTTCAGAAATGTGGTATAAGTGCCCAGAATATTGGGCCCAATCCAAGATATTGGGTCCAAAATTTATCAACAGATAAATAAATTTTAAAAAATCGCATCTTGGAGGGATTTTGAGATCACAGGATTAGAAATTGGAAGCTAATTTTCAAATTGGGCATGGAGCCCAATGTAAGATTCCGCCGCCCAATGTGAGGCCCACGGTAAAAAAAATTAGTTGTCTTGAATAAAACCCATTAATTTTCAGTATCCAATTCGTAATCCCCATGAATTACTTGAGTTAGACTTGTAGTAAAAATGACAAAAATATTGGGCCCAATGTCTGGGATTAGGCCAAACATTTTTCGTTTAATAAATTTAAAAAATCGCATCTTTAGGAGTTTTTGGGGTCATAGGATTAGAAATTCGAAGCTAATTTTCAAATTGTACACAAAGCCCAATGTAAGATTCCGCGGCCCAATGTGAGGCACACATTAAAAAAATTAGTTGTTTAAATAAAACCCACTAATTTTCAGTATCCATTTCAGAATCGTTATGAAATTCTGGGTTTAAACTTGTAGTACAAAAGCCAAAAAATATTGGGCCCAATGTCTGAGATTTGGCCCAACATTTTTCGTTAAATAAATAGATTTATAAAATCGCATCTTTTGTAGTTTTTGGGGTCACAGGATTAAAAATTCAAAGCTACTTTTCAAATTGGGCACAGAGCCCAATGTAAGATTTCGCAGCCCAATGTGAGGCAGTAAAAAAATTAGTTTTCTTCTATTTCGTAATCGTTATGAAATTCTGGGCTTAGACTTGTGGTACAAATTCCAAAAATATCCTCTCAAAAAAACCTTTAAAAATTTAATTTTTATGTAACTACTAATAAATATAACTGTATTATTTTTCCGTATTTATGCTCCTTCTAAATTTCCAGAATATTTAACGATTATATTTAACAAATCTTGAATTTTTAATTTCCATAAATATCCCCTCACAATATGCTAAGAATCTTTAATTTTAATATGTAACAGAAATTCAAATCCAATATTCAGCCAACCTCTGTGACTGTCCTTTATTATGCGCGGACATTTAAACATTAACTCAACCTCGTTTGGACCTCGCGACTCAAGTTTCCGAACCTCGTCTAGCGAGGTTCAGTCAAGGTTCAGGGAAGTTTCGGTGCTGTCCGGGTGATGGAATTGATTTTGGAACTAATTTTTTGTTGAGTTACAAAAATATTGAGATTTGGAAACAAATTTTGTAATCGCCTCAAAATAATACTTATCAAAATTGATTGAACTTCATATCGTGAAGAAATTGATCCACTTTGCCCCATTTCAAATAGGCCTATGGTCAGGACCTAAACAGTTTTTCCTGTTTGAAAAAAAATATATAAACTAAGTTTATAACATTATCTTTTATAAAAAAAAGATATTAACTATTCAAAGGAATCCTGATAAGTGTTTTTCTTTCTTCAAATGAACGGGACATGCCCTTTCGTACAATAGTACTTATTATAAAAGTTTTAATAACTTTTTATTTTAGGGGTTTGACCAGAATTCTTAGGCAAAATTCCAATTTGTATAATTTGCTACTTTGTCATTAAATTAATAAATTTACTAATTAATTTATTAACAATTTGAAAAAATGTACATATTTGATTATTATTTTTTGAGTAAATTATTAAAAAGGATTATAAACTATTAGATGTAAAATTTTTAAAAATAATGTAATTTTGGTGTTATAAAATATTTTTTAAAAAATTGTTTATAGGTAAAATATCTACAAATATGTCAGCCTGGCTGTGTGGTCGGAGTACACGGCCCGCGTTCCAAGGGTTCTAGATTCGATTCCCCACATGCGTAAGATTTTTCAAAATTGTTTTTAAATATAAAATACTGTACACAGTTTTCCTAAAAGTCTCAAATTGAAACCAAAAATTGCATCAAATCTTTGCAACGTTTTGATGCATATAAGTTATATCAAAAAGAGATCGTTTTGTGTATCATTTTTAGAAATGATACACGAAACGGTCTCATTTTTTGATGCAAAAAATTTAATCAATTTATATCAATCATGGCCGAATTGAATCGACTCGAAATTAAACGAATTTTTTTCAGATATTTTGGTAATAGTACAATTGCGGAGGCCATTTCACTATTTAATTTGAAAATTAAAATAACAGGAAATCAAAGACAATGTGCAATTCGATAATTAAAAAGTGACAGCTTATAAACATAACCTAAAGTGCATGAGAAAAAATTTGTCGATAAAATCAATATAGCCGAGCTTTTTAGAAGGTAGATGGCAGCACTCATCTATTTTCTTTCTTTAAATTTTTTCTGAATCGTTTTTATAAAAAGCAAAACTGCCATCTACCTTCTAAAAAGCTCGGCTATATTGATTTTATCGACAAATTTTTTCTCATGCATTTTAGGTTATGTTTATAAGCTGTCACTTTTTAATTATCGAATTGCACATTGTCTTTGATTTTCTGTTATTTTCATTTTCAAATTAAATAGTGAAATGGTCTCCGCAATTGTACTATTACCAAAATATCTGAAAAAAATTCGTTCAATTTTGAGTCGATTCAATTCGGCCATGATTAATATAAATTGATTAAATTTTTTGCATCAAAAAATGAGACCGTTTCGTGTATCATTTGGGAAAATCTCTGGAACTTTTAACTATTATGTCCCTCGCGTATATTTTATTAATTCCAATTAAATTTTACCTGGTTTTTGTTGGAAAAATCAATACTTGATACGAGCAATCATTTCCAACAGGTTTCACATTAATTTATTAAATAAATAAATAATTATTTAATTTTCAATGCACGATTTTCAACAATTTCTACTTGTCCCTAACCATACTTTGTGGTGCTTTAAACGATAAAACTTTATTATTAAAAAAAATTACCAGTTCTAAGATACGTCATTTTAAAGTTAATTAAACGATGATCACATTTTCGCAAGAAAATTAACATTTTGTAAATTGTAGAAAAAGTTATAAGCTTTTAAAAGTTGTCCCTCACTTTTAACCTTTTTGACTGCAATCCTCTTATTTAGCATTTTTCTTTGATAAGACAATTGGCACACCAAAATAACTTATGAGAAATTAAAGTTCAAGTCATTAGAATTATTTTGAGACATATTAAATTGATGTGCCTCGTGTCTTAAAAAAATTATTGTAATTTTAATAACAGAAAACACGTGTGTACAAAATGAGAATTTTATTTTAAATAAATGTTGAAATTATTAACCAAATTTTATCATTTTTAAAAAATTGTAACTTCACAGTAATTTCCTTTCCATTGTTTTTCATTCCAAAATCAACCACCTGTTGAATACTTTTCTGTTTTAGGTTAACAATAATTTGCAATTTTAAATAATTAATAACTTTTTTAAGACAAAAAATTTTATCTGTCCACTTATATAATTTGAAATCTTCGTACTTGAAGTTTATGTTGACAGAGTTTCAATACTGTGCTCGAAAAAAAGAATTTTTTTTTCTTTTATTGAAAAGTTAAAAGTTCCAGAGATATGCCCATTTCTAAAAATGATACACAATACGATCTCTTTTTGATATAACTTATGTGCATCAAAACGTTGCAATAGAAAAAGAGACAACCAAGTTTACTGTGTATATATGGTCGATTTCATGTGAAATGTAAGTTGACGTTCTAAATTCGACTACACTCTTTAAATTTGAATTAGTAAAAATTTTAACCAATTTAAATTAATGATTCACTTTTTGTTTTTGAATTAGAAAAATTTAACTAATTAATAGTAGAAAAACATTTTTTATACTTTCGAATTAATAAAATTTAACTAATTTAAAAACAAAAAGTAAGTCACTATAATTCAAATTAGGTAAAATTTGCTTCCTAATTCGAATTTAGAGAGTAAACATATTTTTTTCTTGTTATTTATTAAAAACGAAGAGATACATATATTTTTTTATTTTCTTAATCCTTACTTGGCACACTTAAAATGAGCATTTTTTTAAAAAAATTCATAATTTAAAAATTTTTAAATATTGAAGGCTAAAATTTTTACCAAATCTTCTACTAAGTTATTAATATAAGAAAAAAATTTGGTTTTTGTAAAAATTTGTAATTTTTGTAAAATGTAGTTATTTTGAAAAATAATACAAAAACAGGCCTGGGGTCGATTTGATCCCAGTGTGCCAAAGAAAGGTTAAAGTTGGCCAAATTTTCGAGTTATGAATTTTCAAAAGTTTGGTTTCTCAAATATACACCCAGAAATATGTTTCATTGAATCAAAGAAGTATTTCTTTAAGTATTTCATTTAAAGAAATTTTTTTTATTTTTAATAAAACGTTGTTTGCAATTGTAAAAGTATTTTTTTAAAGTAAACAAATTTTTTTTTTAAATCTAATTAATTTTATTTTAATTAAAGAAATCATTCTTCTATGACTCTATATTAAAGAAATACTTCTTTGAAAATCAAAAATTTTTTTTAATTTATAACTCGTAAAATACGTTTCGATTAAGAAAAAAAAAAAAATATTTTTGGCCGAATTTAAAAGGTCAACTATAATTTCACATGAAATCGCCAATATATATATATAGATTAATATAGGGAGAACGAAAACGATTCAGAAAACAGTAGGTTAGAGAAAGGATAGGTATATTACAGTCTGTTGGTATCTCTGGTGATGCTGCAAAAATGAAACAGAGGTTGACATCAATGGCTTAAGAGTTGAAATGAATTCATAGAAAAGAGGTCACTATTATTGGAAAAGCTTGATACAACCTTTTAAAGGAATAGTCCTTATTAAGTATTATACATATGTAGTGTACCAATCATGTAATAATAAAGTCATAACGTATTTAACGGTATTTAATGGAGTATTTTTTTAAAAGAATAATAACAATAATAAATTGAACTGCATAATAGCTTAATAAAGTATTCATAATTTATACATTTCTTTATTGATCAATTTGTCATACGCTGAGTTAGACATTTTCTTGTATTAATGGTCAATTATAATAGAGAAAGAGATTATTATAAAATGTCCGTTAAATAATAGGTTTAGTTTTTAATAAAATAACGACTAGTTATATGTAGGGGAAGATGGGGGAATTTGAGCCCCTTAAGGACAATCATTAAAAAAACCAACTTATTGTTATAATAAAATATTGTTTTGGTCATTTTTTACTCCTTTTGTTATTTATCTTTAATTATAATTAATTAGAAATTAAGAACAAAAAAGTAAGTTTACAAAAAAAATGCATTTTCTCCCATTACCCCACCTGTGGGGTATTGAGAGCTCTTACTTGAAATTCCAATAAAATGATATAATTTTTATTTTCTTTAGATATTTTTCTTATTTTGTTAATAATTCTCGACAGATGACCCTTTTTCAAAATATTTAAGACATAAAAAAGAACTAAAGCTTTTTTGGTATTAAAATATCCAATAATAACACATTTTAAACAATAAAACAAAAATATGGAATCTCAGCAATTAAATATGCAACAATATCAAATTTTATAAATGAATTTTGTTCAATTTTCAAAGAAATAAGAAAAGCCATATTGAGGTAACGAAACTCTGTTAGCTGACACAATTCTTCCATTACCCCAAAGAATTTTCACAGGCCACAATTTGAAAAAAAGAAGAAAAACATAAATAAATTTAATTATTACCCCTATTTTTATTCATGTATCCAAATCTACATATACATTTATATCTAATAAAAACATAATTAAATAATAAATTTTTAACTATTTAATTTGATTTCCAGAAATATTTTCCATTTAAGAAGAAAAACTCGAAAACTTGATTTTTCCTTGTAGTTTCTACAAATCTGTCAAAAATGTGATTGTTTGTCTTCGTATGACATACAGAAAGATTGTTCAAGTTTTCCGAGTTATTTCCACGAAACTCAAAGTCTCTATGTACTTGAAATTTAAAAGCTCCCATTACCCCACCTTCCCCTATATATGGGTGATTCCACGTCAGATTTTAGTTCAAATTTTAAATTCGTCCAAAACTATTTTTTTTTCATTCTTCATAGTAAAAAAACCTATACGTTTTTTTTTTTTTTTTTTTTGGTGCCCAAATTTTTAAGTTATGAATTTTCAAAATTTTGGTTTTTGAAAAGTAGACCTATTTTCAACCACCTACAAATTGAAAACTATTGAATTTAGAAAAATTTCATTAAGAGAAAAAAGTTTCGATTTTTTGTCGACTTTTTAATAATGTCAAAAAAAAAAATTATTTTTGAATTTTTATTAAAAAAATAATAATTTTTTATAAACGAATTTATTTTTTTTTCAATTTGGACATTTTTTTTTTAATTTTTTTTTTTTCATTAGATACCTGAAAATAATAAAAAACGTTTGCACAAAGTTTTGGAGTGGGCCTGATGAGTTTAATAGGTGAAAATGAATTTTTAAACTCTGCGTGCAAGTTGAGCGCGCGACGTACAATCCAAATTTTGCTAGTTTAAGTAGGAGTGTTTTTTTAAAGTTGGTTTTTAATTGGTTTTTTTATTTTATAACATATCTATTACAATTAATACTTTAAAATAATAATACTGATAATATAATTATTATTTTCTTATATATATTCAGTTTATGTTTTTCGTTGAGATTTAGCACGGAACGTCGCGCGCTCAACTTGCACGCAGAGTTTAAAAATTCATTTTCACCCATTAAACTCATCAGGCCCACTCCAAAACTTTGTGCAAACGTTTTTTATTATTTTCAGGTATCTAATAAAAAAAAAATTGAAAAAAAATGTCTAAATTGAAAAAAATGAATTTGTTTATAAAAAATTATTATTTTTTTAATAAAAATTCAAAAATAATTTTTTTTTTTGACATTATTAAAAAGTCGACAAAAAATCGAAACTTTTTTCTCTTAATGAAATTTTTCTAAATTCAATAGTTTTCAATTTGTAGGTGGTTGAAAATAGGTCTACTTTTCAAAAACCAAAATTTTGAAAATTCATAACTTAAAAATTTGGGCACCAAAAAAAAAAAAAAAAAAACGTATACGTTTTTTTACTATGAAGAATGAAAAAAAATAGTTTTGGACGAATTTAAAATTTGAACTAAAATCTGACGTGGAATCACCCATATATATATATATACTAGGGGGGCTTCGCGCGCCAACTCCCTGTTTTTTATTGTTTTTGTAAATGTTCTGGAATTTAAAACTATTATTAACATTTTTTTTTTAGTTATTTTCGTTTTTTGGTCATTTTCCTTCAAAGTTTAACATAAATTTTGAGGTTATGTTTGTTTCTTTGTCTTTTTGCACCAAATTTTGGCCTAAATTTTGAGGTTATGTTTCTTTTTGGTCGTTTCCCGTCAAAATAACATAACCTTAAAATTTAGTTCAATTTCGGCGGAAAATCCACAACCCCTTCAACGTAAGGAAGTAGGGGGGAGGGCTTGTGACTATATTAACAGTTTTGAAACGAACATAACCTTTAAATTCAGGTCATTTTTGGCGGGAAATCCAAATCCACTTGCGGCTATATTTAAAGTCTTGAAATGAACATAACCTCAAAATTTATGTCATTTTTGGCGGGAAATATGGAGAGAAATGAAAGAACGGGGAAGGACTTACTGCTCTATTCAGAGTCTTGAAACAAACATAAGCTCAAAATTTAGGTCACTTTGGCGGGAAATACGGAGAGAGGGGTGGGGGGAAGACTTTTGTCCCTATTCAGTTTTGAAACGAACATAACCTCAAAATTTATGTCATTTTTGGCGGGAGAGGGGGGACTTGCGGCTATATTTAGAGGCTTGAAACGAACATAACCTTAAAATTTAGGTCATTTTTTGCGAGGGAGGGGAGAAGGGGGGGGGACTTGCGGCTATATTCATATGGGTCATTCCATATCAAGTGTAACCAACCAATGTACTATCCATGTCAAAAACATGGGTTGTCTAACCCTTACCTAATTTTGTTAAAAACATGGGTTGTCTAACCCTTACCTAATTTTGTTAAAAACATGGGTTGGGTACACTTGACATGGAATGACCCATCCTTGTCAAAATTTCTGAAACAGCGACGGCGGCGGCTGCGGCGAAAACAGTTTATAATATAGAAAGATATAACCTAAATTATATAGTTTATATATTTATTTGTATACAGAAAAAACTTGGAATTAATTTTGTTGCAAGTCATTTTTATTTGGGTATCGCATTGAATAAATGACAAACTTCTCGAAATGCCCGTGAATAGAATTTCAGAATTCCAGGTTGTCAAAATTTGCAAAATGATTTTGAATTACAATTATTTTCTTCTAATATTTCAAAAGGATTTTTTTTATCAGTACACTGAAAAAAATTTATTTGATTCAAATACTCGATTACTTGACTATTATCAAATAAATATTTACTTAAACCAAATAATTTTTATTTAAATTAAATAAATTGTGTTTGAACCAATAATTTCTGTATTTGAAACAAATACTATTTAATTGACTCAAATAATAATTATTTGGATACAAATCATGATAATAGTCAAGTAATCGAGTATTTGAATCAAATACATTTTTTTTCATAGTAGTAATTTTTAAGTAAAAAATAATAATATCTATTTATTTAAATAATAATTTATTATTATAATAATTATATTATAATTATTATAATAATTTATTTATTTATTAAACTTATACGGGTTGACAAATAGACACAAATAGTTTTAGCGCCATTATTTAAGTTGGTAGTACTGTCCCTGCTGGAAAATTGTCATAGCTCAGAATATTCTATAATTATTTTATTATTATTATTATAATTATTATTATATATAATAATATATAATTTTTTTTTAATACAAAAAAAAGATTTTATTCAGATTTTTGAATATAAACGATGCGTGAATTTAAAATATACTTAAAAATAAAAAATCAATAGAAGTGGAGGCTTTGTTTTGTTTTTTGAATTCGACCTCCTAGACCAAAACAAATGCTAACATTCATCTAATTCTAGATATTTACATTTTCCCTATATTTATAATAAACTTATTACGAAGACTTATTTATAATGATAAACAAAATTGAAAATATAAAAGATATTATCTTTCTATAAAAAACATATTATTTTTATAAAAAAATATATTTTATTTTTCGATATTGCTATATGAAACATTTTGAAAATGAGGAAAATAAATTCACATGTTCTTTTACGATACAGCAGTTGAATTAAAAAAAAATTATTATTTTTGATTATAATATATATATTATTTTAATAATTTATTTATAATAAATTGTAATTTAAAATATAAATTATTTTTTAATGTAAAATTTTTTATTTATATTATTATATTATAATTTTATATTTATCTAATATAAATATTATATTAAAAGTTAAACTGCATAAAAATAAGAGTGAGAGAGAAGAAAAGAGACGCGTTTCTGCCCTCTCTTTCCCGCACTTCCATACCTCCCTTTCCGCCTTTACGTGATTGGTGCAAAATTTAAAATAATTTTAGCGCGTCTAATTTTCCTACAACCACGTGATTTTAAATTCATCAATTTTCAAGGGTGGGGATTGCTTCTGTAGCGTCAGTGAGAAATATCGGGTCATTTTCAAAAATTATTTTCGCGCGTCTCCATCCATAAGCCTGTTGAATCCTGTCCGGTCACCACGTGTTCGTGAAATTTTCTAAATTTTAATTCCTTCAAATTTAGTTTTCGGGAGTGCTCATATTTTTTAAACCCGCAATCGAGTATGTAGGGCAATAATTTTTTTTTCCTTTACTTATTTTAAAATTAAATAATTAAATTTAATTAAAAACAAAATTAATTAAATTAAAATAATTTTTCAATGTCGGGAGTGTTCGTAATATTTAAAACCGCGATCGTATGTAAAAATTAAATAAGTCAGTTTCGTACGCAGTAAACACGTGGTTCGGGAGTGTTC